AAATCAAGGATTTATCACATGGCCAAAAAGGAAATTGTTTCTTGCACAGACCACAGGATTCGCTTCATCTTGACGGGTCGTAAAACGACCCGTCATATAATGTAGCCTCTTCACACTGGCTCACTAGTACACCGAGATGGCGGCCATTGACCATCATCACAGAAATCTCGCCATGTCACGTCATTTACCTGGCTGGGGTATTTATTACATTATTTTAATTCTTACCAGGCGTTTGATTGTCTTAACCTAGATATTCTAAAAGCTACTTGGGGAGGGGGAGGAGGTTGGATGTAGTTGACCCCCAGGGCCCAGAAGGCCAAGTCTTACAAACTTTTGGAGCAGAATGCTGTGATGTCATGTGAAAATTGTTTGTTAATTGACGATATATCATTCTTTATCTGTTTAGAATACCTTTCATTACGATTCAGGTTTTTGGATCGTCAAGGAGGACTATAATTCCTCTGCGGGAAAGACCCTGCTTGATCATCAAGAAACAAAATTACCCACCTACTGGAGCACACCATTCACCAAGATCTGCCTCGCTATGAAGATCGGCCATCAAGTTAATTCGATCGTCATCAACAAACACGCCAACTCCTTACACTCCCTGATCGCTGACGGAAAATACCGTTCGACGTCACTGGGTCGTGACACCTGGAAGAAGCTGATTGGCCAACAGGCATCGCTGCAGAAAAATTGTAATAAGGAAGGGTTCAATGCTCTTTCGAAGTGGTACCAGAGCAAAGTAAGAATAGGTATCATAAGTAACGAACAAAACGACTGTATATCCCCTGACTCAAGAATTGGGTTTGGTACTGGTGGTTATCCTCATGATCGTCTCAACACCTGTGGAAACGCGGCCCGGTATCAACCAGACAATGGTCGCAAAAACATTAAAGCGATGGGCTACATCCTGGTGCAATGAGTATACAAAAGCAACGTCAAAAATATTGTTCCACTTCATATAGTCAATCATCAGTGTCCTTTACAATGCTAAATAGAAATTGTAGGTTAAGTGAAGGATTAATTCTTGCGTGAACAAATATTTGTGGAAATTAAATTGAATAAACGCATTGCAAAAAACAAAACCTTTTGTTCTGTTTCCCCCCGGGGGGTACTCCTCCTACTAATTCTTGTTGGGGGTGTGCCGCCCGGTTCTCCAAATCCTGACCCTATTTCGGACCGAAAAATGTCATTTTCTAGACCCGTTTTCAGACCTAGCCTTATGTTAGTGTTACTTAAATTAGAGCGCAAACAAAAAAAAATTCCTTAAATTCGTTTCGATTTTCGAATTCGCATATTTCTCTTTCTTTCTTACTCATTTGGAATTGAAACGATAAATACGTTCATACACTCCGTAGTTCCCTCGAAAACCATACCCGATTCCAGACCAAAATGGGCAAAGTGTATACTCGTTTTCAGACCAAAACGGCCCAAAAACCCTACCCGATGGGGCGGCAAATACCTATATAGTTTATATGAGGGAGTGCCCCCCCCCCGGGTGTTTCCTCTGTCTCAATCATTCATTTATATTTTTTCCATGATAGGTCTCTCTCCAGGGAACACTCCCGGAATTTTTAAAAAAATAGCCCTTTGACGCATCCCCACAACCCCTTTCCCCTACCAGGGCTAGCGCCCAAAATTACACACGCACACACACACTCCATGACACAAACCCGACACTTTCTGGCACAACACAGCTTGAAAAAAAGCACTTAATCGAAACAGCGCCACCCGAATAACCTTGGCATCTTTTAAATCGAAAAGCAATAAGTGCCGCGGCGCTCTTTCGAAAAATTCAATGTTTTACTGCATTTAATTGAAAGGGCTCCGACTTCAAGTAAGAGTTGCACAGGAGAAGAAGAAAAGTAAATAAACGCCTCGGCACTCTTTCGAATGAATACATTTTTCTCCTGCATTCAACCCATTCAAGCGATAGTGTCACATTTCCCTGCAATATAGCAGCGCTTATTAATTTTTGCTAATCAGACCTTTTAATATGTTGATTAATTACCATTGCTGATGTAAGCTTGAAGCATATAGCCTGTGTACAGACGTCCCCCCTCCCTCAGAAAAAATCGGGAGCTAGAAGAGACGATTTTTTCTGAGGGAGAGGGGACGTCTGTACACAGGCTAGAAGCATACTGATATAAGTTTAAAACCCGTCTTTAGAAGAAATGAAAGTTCAAAACAAAACAAGGTTTGAACTTTCACTGATTTCTTCTTCGCAGTATGGTATTTAAATAAGTATGATGAAAGTGATGATAAAGTATCTCCCTAAACAACTTTAAATTTTATTTATCGTAGACAGTACGTACGTGATACTCCCATTAACTGAGTCTGCAAGGCTGCGTATTAAACTTCAGTCAGTTAAGTTCGCGCAAACCAAATTGTAAAAAAATGGGATGGAAATTTCGAAAGAGCGCTGCGGTGCTTATTGATTTTGCTACTTAAAGATGCCAAGGTGATTTGAGTGAGGGCTTTTTCGATTAAATGTAATGCAACAACAACATAAGCTTTAATGCATTACTATATATTTACAGTATTGCAAAAGCTTTAAGATAAAGTTACAATTTACACTAATGATAATACAATGTAATAATGATTAAAATGGCCAATCAAGTGTCATTAGTATGATTTGATAACAAATTACTAAATACTTAAATCATTACATAATGAAATAAATTTTAACAACTGTGAATTTACAGAAAAATTCTATGATTTCATCAATGTAATTATTAATTCTGTGCAAGATAGGTGAATAAAATCAACAAATTATGTTGGATTTGATTGTAGAATTTTTCCCTTGGGATTGAATACTTTGGACAATGCAAGAGAAAATGAAATTCGTCTTCAATTATACCATAGTTACAAACAGGGCAAAATCTATCGTTGTGGGGAGTTTGATGATATCTTCCAGTTTCAGTCATGAGTTTGTTGTTATTTGTGCGAATTTTCACTGAGTCTTTCCTTTTGGTTGAATTTCTGGTTAAGTCTAGATAACTTGAAATTTTATAATCATGTTTAAATATGCTGTAAAATTGTAGTTTCTTAGAATGATTGTCTGTTGCCAATATGTAATATTTTTTGTTTTATTGTATTTATATAATGGTTGATCTTAGCTTCACTTAAATTATTAGGATCAAAATCGGGCAGGTTAAGATATTCAGATATTTTGATAAGATTATGGTAAAAGCTATTTTTACCATTATAGTGAAGCTCTTGCGAGGGACGAAAGACTTGTTTAACAATAGTATATCCTCGTTTTTACGCAGAAGATACAATATGAAATAAGGAATGTTTTTGTAGATATTAATAATTAATGGCAATCGTCCTAATTCACTTCTACTTGCAACATTTGAAGATTTATTGCTTATTTCTCTTTGAGACACGGGATCGCCCGTCCATTGACTCGACGACTGTGCTATGTTGATGAGCCCCAGTAAGGGGGAAGCAGCTGTCCATGGCTGCCACTGCCCGGGTGATATGGTTGTGCGCATACGTTAGGTACTGGCCTGACCGCGGGGTTGACACGTGTGCCTCAGTCTTGAAATTGGTATTGAAATCGATTTTGGTTCGAGTTAGCGAGGGTTCGAGTTATCGGGAGTCGACTGTATCAGCGGGAGAGTAAAATAATAAAGCTTTCTGGGGGTGTATAATTTTTGAGAATACTCGCGAGAAAAACTTCAAGATAAATTTCGTCCTCGTCCTCAAATCTAAAGCTCTCTAACAACGTTATTCATGACTCACCATGCATACGACATCTAATGCACTGACCAACATCAACTCTTGTTTCGTACTTAGTTCCTCTGAAGTGCACATGTTCAGCGGGCACACACCTGCTGCCTCTTTCACGTGGCGTGCACGTGCAATTCATAGCGCTAATGATGTCTTGCAGACCACTCAAATTCCTGATTGTTGTCACCTCTGAAGGAGAAGCGATGCAGAGGTTTATGTCTAGGCAGACCTGTTTTAGGGAAAAAGTGATGGGTGGGACAAGGTGAGTTGTTTTTTTTTCATCATAACAACAACAACAGCTTCATTTGTACCGAACTTATTTTTTACAACTGATTACCAGGACTGGCCCCTGTAAGTTATACTAACAATTATAATGATGATGATTAAGGATAATAAGAAGAACAAGAACAAGAACAAGAGTACGAGTTGTCCGAAATAAACGAAAAACGTGTCTAGAATAATAGGGTAGCAGTACCGATGAGTTAAGCAAACAGTAATAAATAGAGTCTGAGATTTAGCATCGGCTGACTCGTCCACCATTTGCATGTTCGCTGACTTGGCGCTGAAGGAGCCGCAGTGTCACCTGGGATTGGAGAGGTCCGTCTCTCTCTCTGGATTTGTAGGCTACAAGGAAGTTATCGGTAGCAATGGAGGGGGAAGGGTTTCATTTCTAAACTTTCCTTTCTTCCATTCCTTCTCCTCATCCCATCCTTACATTTGAGAGACTTCGCTTGCAGATAGATCCCTCAAAACCATGGAATTAGAAAAGGCTCGGATGGAGAAATCCCATTGAGGCTGCCGGAGTTGCCAAACGACTACTTAAGACTACGGGACCGTAGCAATAGGCAGACTGCAAAGCATTCGCGTTTTTACTTGGATCGCCGCTCACAAAGCGCGAATAGCTCAATGCGTGGCGGATTCTCGCGCGTTAAGCGCGCGATTTTATCACGCGTGTCACGCATGTGCGTGACTTTCTCCACCATTCGTTGGAAACTGAAACTAATTCCAACACGATTGCTTCACACACTAACTCTATAATTTTCCCCAGAATCGAAGCCTGCGAGAAGCTTCTATTTCTTTTGTCTAGAATTAGCTTTAAGCTAAGCTGGATGTACAACGTCTATTACCCGACCTGTTCCTTTTTCCATTTTAAATCTCGTTTCGCTTCCACGAGGCTCGTTCTGCAGGTTGTCACCTGGAATTTCTGACCACTTCCTGCAAAGAATAACATAATAAGGATAATAATTTATGCATGGTGTTTGAAGCATTAATTAACATGGACCACAATGCTAACAGCCTAGAATAGTACAACGACTTGAAGGCACGTTCGTCTTGAAAAGAACATTTTGTCACGTTCATACTTAAACAGGATCTTACGTACAGTAGTTTGTTAATGTCAAGTGGCCCTTTAAAGCTTAAACATGTTTTTATTAACGACTTAACTGCAATCAACTTAAAACTGATATTGATTTTTGTTATTGTTTGCTCTAACACAGTCTCCTTCCCCACGTGCAGTTAATAACTACTCAACGCTGGAAGTTCCCAGTTTAGTTAAGACTCGATAAAAATGTTGCATGCATGCTCTTTCAATTCAACTGTCTTTTCTTTCAGCTCTTTTTTTTATCAAATGATTTAACTAACTGTTACTACATTTGACACAAATATAAAATTTACGGTGACACTTAAATTGTTTTGACATTTAATTTGTAGCGGAGTATAGTTAAGATTGAAATACTTTTTATTCTTCCTGCGACCTTGGCTTTACAATCCAGGGATACGTGAACAGAAAACACATTTGTCAATCAAAACTAAAAACACTTTCTTTTATGTAACCTCAAAGGAAATATGTGCTTAATATCAAGTGTTTTGATGCCTAACGTCCTAGCGCTGAAGCATTTTTCAGTTTTCCAAGAATTAAAATGATATTGTCTTCAGTAATTCGCTTCGTAATATCCGGGCATCTCTTGACGCTGTCACCCTATTTTGCAATCACTTCAAAGGTGACAGACCATAAACGATTATTTCCTGTATAACTGGAGTTAGACCTCCAGACTAGACTATCGTCTTGTATGAAGCAGCTCCCAAACAAGCAATTTATGTGCCTCCCTGATCATTTAAGTGGAACAGGTAGAGGCTGAGTTGTGTCAAATGTAAACAAGATGGCTTGATCATGCGTAATCAATGCCA